GAAACATAAATGATAACCGAGACTCTTTCAGTATGTAATTGGTTGTTCATAAAATGTTCCTGATCTAACAGAAAGTTATATGTGAACAATCATGCCATATCCTGCCTCTCCGGCTGAAACCAGTGGTTTCTTTAGACAGTTCTGCAACTTCTAAACCCTTCACACAGACCTATAGTCTTATTACCTTGAATGCAATACAAGTGGTATACAGAGCTCCGCTAAAGACAATAAAGACTTAGTCTTCAGAAAATACACAAAAAATCACTTAAATCTAAGATTTCAGAAGTGGAAAGTCCAGGTCTCTGAATGTCAGTGAAAATTGACCTCGGGTTTAAAAACTGATTACTAAAGCTATATCCACAGAAAACTGAGCAGATGTTATTCAGCAGAAGGAAATTCCATGAAAACTCATATCCTCAATAGTATTCCCTCCCTATTAAGACTCTTAGATTGTAGAAATAATGTGCAGTTTGACATTCTCTTTGCTATCAAAAGTGCAAACAGTTGAGGAAGATGAAACTTCTTACAGCTAAAATCAGCTATAAAACTCAGACATGTTTCTGAAACAAATATTTGTATGTTCTGAATAAACCTCTCTGCCCATATTCTGTTGCACAAGAAAAAAAGTTGACAAGTACCCTTTAAAAAAACATTTACAAGCTTTAAAGTGTGAAGTAGGTCATCACAAATGCACTATCTAATACCATGCTCTCCACAGCTCCAAGAAGTCCCATCTCAGATCTCCATCTACACAATTAAAGCCTCCCACTCACTTTCTCTTGTCTTCTCCGATGTCACAGTAGGACAGCTGTGGTCCACTGGAACTTTAACGGATAAAATTCTTAAAAGGAAAATAAAACAGTCGAATAACCCACTCCCATTACATTTTGAACAAACCTGTTTGTTGCAGCTCTCTGCCTTAGCCTCCTTGGAAAAACCTCAGCCAAAACTGACAATCAATTTTAGCTAGAAGATGAACTCGGGAAATGAGACTTAAAGAACTGTATGCACACTCTGCACACAAATGCTGTATGCATGACCCATGGACTTAAGTACAATTCAAGATACACTAGGCTCATGTCTTCAGCTTAGCTTTCCCACACCTACATAGCAGCAATACAGCTAAGAGCAATCAACTTGCCTTACCGTTTGTTTAGGCTGAGACGGATGTGTGAGAACTCAAGCCTCGCTTCAGTGTTTAAAGTACCTGAGAATTATGCAGACATCATGATAGGAGAGATTCATGAATATGTATGTATCTCAACTAAGATATATCAGCATGCTTCAAAAAGTCCCTCTACAAAAACAAACTAAAACCAAAAACCCCCAAACAGCAGAAACTGGGGAATAATGACAATTCAAGACATGACACTACCAGGGTGGAAGTCTGCACAACATAAATCTAGAATTATGATCTAAAATAAGGATTGCTTGGGCATTTCTTTTGCTTGCAAATAAAGAAAAAATGAATTAGATTTATTTTTTTTTAAATAAAAATTAGTAAATTATCAATCCAAAATTAGCAAAACATTTTCCAATGGAAAATGTAATCAACATTAGATGCTACAGAGCATTTGATAATGTGAAGTCTATGAACGATAAAGCACACTTAGTGAACCAGCGCTGTTGTCAGAAACCTCCATTTTGTCATGTTATCATAAATGACTTAGATATAGATATTACCTAATTGGGGGCAGGGGGTAAGATTGTTCCTCTCCTTTTTTTTTTTTTTTTTCCTGACATGCCTTTGATCAAAAGCTCTTTGTAAAAATACCATACACATGATTGAAACAATTTGTTATAGAAATCTTTTTGAGATCTATCAACAAATTAAACAAACTGCTCAGCTGGTTGGTCTGAAAGAAAGAGAATGTATCTTAAATTAAAAATAACTTTTTTTTTTTTTTTTTTCCTGGAGACAACTGAGAGGAAATTCCTTAAAAATATCAGGGAATATAAAAGTCAGTGTTGGCCGGAAATTAATCTGACCCCAGTGCACTGCAAATCATCTTTGACAAGATAAATTAAATCAGTACAGTCTTCTTTGGTACCTCACAGGCTATAAATAGGCCTCGGTACAAATATGGGCCAAGTAAATCATATTTTTATCCAAATACAATGCTCATTGATATCTATTAATATTTTCATATTAATTATATGTTACGGGCCCCACATGTGTTAATAGGAAATATAAAAATGTATATCTTGAACTCCAAAAAACTGATATACTTTTGGAATATCTAGAGAAAAGGGCATCTTTAAAAAGCCCTAACAATAAAACCAGCATCCATAGAGGCTGTTTCATCCAAAAAAAATAATAAAGACAATCCTAACAAGTTAAAACTGTACATCATTATTACACAACAATAATAAATGACAGCTAGGACCCACGTATTTCCTGAATTTATTCTAAACTAAGCTAAACTAAATTCATAACTGAACAACTGAAAGCAGCAAGAAAAAAAAAAAAGTCACTGTTACAACAAACAAAGAACTCTGCCGCACCCTGGGACTCAAAAAAACTAACATTAGAAAGAACAGAAAGGTCAAGCATTATTCCCTTCACATCTGTATCATAGCATAGGAGGTCAGATGTGACAAGATACCCCAGCTACCAAATGTAGCAAGGATATGTGTGGTTTTAAGGAAAACTTCTCTAACTATGCTGCTTTTACTTTTACAATAGATATTTTTAAAATTGTTCCACTGTATGTAGAACAAACATGTATTTGATAGAATTAATTTAGACCCTGTAAGGTATCACACTCTTTATGCACAGTACCTTGTTGACCTCTGCTAAAAAGGCTTACACAACAACTCAAGGTTGATTACTTGCATGGACTGTAACTCTGCGGAACAAACAAGGCAGATAAATTATTACGCTGATCTTTTCAGGCCACAAATCTGCCTACAGATATGCCGCGTCTGGGCAAACCTGCTAAATAAATACAGAGCCTTATATGATGTAAGCTACAGTCATCCCACAGATCTCCACACTGATTCCAAACCTTACAATGAGACCACTTCAAAAACATTTACAGAACTATTGCTATAACTCTGTCTACCAATACACATTCTGCCCCTTATTCGCTACCCCTCCTCCCTACCTTATTCCTAACCTCCATAATTGCAAATCTTTACACTGCGTCTCACTTCCTCTTGATTTTCACACCAGCACAGATTCAATTACCCTACCTCGATACACTACTCAGAGAACAACAGACCTCTCACATTATTTGAGTAACTATTTATTGATCATCATCTCCATAGGACTTTTACTGGTACATGTATGTTAATAACAGAGAAATTTGGCAGCAATGTTTGCTCACTGGCTTTTGTTGTTGCTTTTTGTTTGTTTTACTAATTCATTAACAATCTGTTCCTAAATGCTTGACTATGGCTTGCATATCAAGGACTAGATCCAAAGCACTGTTAATACTATGTCTATTCACTGATTGCTTCCACTTCAGTGACCTGCGGATCAAAAAGCATTTAGACGGTGCCAAGGGAAGAGCTACTAATATCACAGGCTGTTCCACATAAGTCTTCATTCTTTAAGACCTAAATTGGGCACATAACTGCACCTTTCTTGCAGTCCTCTCATGTCCCTACCTCACCTGCACTACAATACTCGGCTCCATTCCTACTGTATTTTCCTAACTTCTTTACTGCAATGGTCTCTGTAGTCCAATTTCTGTCAAAGAGCATGTAAGCAACAAAGAAATGCTCACACCGACTGATTTTGTTATGGGGGCATTAAATATATTGTATGACTATCAATTTTGGACCTGAGTCTTCTTTCTTATTATAGTACCCCCTTCCCATGCCTGCTTGACAGCTGCTGGGCCAAATGGTTTTGCAGCTTATTTGGCTTCTCACATGTCCTGTTTCTTCAAAGACCATCTATCCCATTACATTCCATGTCTATTTTCTCAGAAAAATTTGATTTTTCCCTACATTCCTGAAAACAGAACTGACACAAATTGCAGTCCTCTACCAGCTACTTTAATTTCCTAATCATTTTAATATGCACAAATTAATACCACATTACTGTCTTAACATATATTTTGAAGCCTTCCCTGAGGCTACATTCAAAGAACAGACTCTCTGTAAGATGCAAAGCCTTCAAGTACATCCTGAGGCTCTTAACATGAGATCCTGCATGCCTATGGTACTCAGCAGCTCAGTGTGCTGCCAAGCACACTCAGCAGACTGTTCAAAGGCAATTATGCTGGTGGAAGGTAAAGGCATACAGAGAGCATTGTGCTGACATGCACTTCCATGCCCAATTGTTGCACAGATAAAGCTAAACCACCCTATTCAGAAACAATACTGAAATATTACAAAGAAAAATAAATGGTTCCGTAGAACCAGTATTACTATTTTTTATAAAGCTTTTCACTGCTAAATATCAAAGCTATGTTCTTGCTACCATCATGAGCCATCTCCTACACAAGCCAAGCACAAAACATGGTTTTATTGCATTCTTTTTTTTTTTTCCTTCATAATGACAGCTATAATGTTGATATTACTATTAGCATTATGGGTATGAGGCCAGCAGATAAAAAGGTGCCACTGTAATTCAGCCTACCCATTCAGCGAGAGGTAGCTGTGCCGTGGAATATACGTCAATATTCTGTAGCGAACAGTTAAGCAACTGAGTGCTTCACAATACTCATGATCACCAACAGGGAAATGCTTTACATTTGGAAAACTGCAGAAGAAGAAAGCAAATTCTCTGGTGAAGGCTGGACTCAAACTCTTGTGTGCTGATACTAATTGATGGAGCACCCTTGTTTTTGAGACTGAAATGGATAAAAGGGATGGAGGACAAAGCACCTACCAAAAAGTATTACCCATATTACCCTCAGAATTCAGGTCTCCTGAGATACAATTTATTGCCATTTAGGCTACACCAGGTATTTCACTAATGCTCTATTAGGCTTAGAACAAAGGTTTACCAAACAGAAATGACCAATAATCAGGAAGAGAAGCCTCACCTGAATGAGATAGTGAGAACATAAACTGAGAAGCTCCAGCAGCTGCAAATGACTCCCAGCTGCTAGCACATCCTGTATCACCCCTGGCTCCAAAAGGATCTGTAAAGAAGAAAATGAAAGGTTTGTCATGTAGAACTGTAGAAAACACTACAGGCCTTTGGTACTTCAGACATTTCATTCAACTTAAAGAACAAAATAGAAGCACACGGAAAAATCTTTGCAGGATAGGGACAGAATTTTTAGAGTACGTTTGATTAGCAAGCAGATTTTCCTGCAAGAGTTCATAAACCACACTACCCCCACATGCTTTAAAATGAAATGCATATTAGTTATTTAAAAAGGAGGCTTTTCAAAACAGCAGAACATCCTTTTGTTGTATGTATGTATGCTCTAACTGGTTATTTCCATATATGCTGATAAATCAGACCAAAGTAACTGACAAGTCTCCAGAATTAATATTATTCATGCCTGTAAAAATATACAGATTAGAAACACCCTTCCCATTCTGCATGGTACACCACTTCATAATTTTCCTAACCACTCTCTCCATTTTACAGAGCAAGGCTGTGAAGGCAGAGAGTGTGCATGCTGCTGGGGAAGTGCCAGAAAGGGCTTAGAAACCAAGACTGATTATCCTGTCACTTGTTCACATGAAACTCCTACTCATTTCAATTAAAATCACACACAGGCAGCAGCCAGGATAATTGGGCCTCAGCTCCTAGCCTGCTGTCTTGGGGTCAGCTTATTAGAGCATCCCTCTCAGGACACAAAGTCTTTGGGAATATAGACACCGGTCAATCTCTTTTATTAGCAAGCACATAACAAACTATCTAAACCAATATTATTTAAGGGTAACTGGTGTAGCATCCAAGAAAAATCAGAAAAAGTTGAGAAATATTAATTTTTCAAAGATATTCCATTTATTCAGAGTTTTATGCTTCTTGCGTTTCCCCTGACAACTTTGGTTTCACACCACACGAGGTCAGTCTCTCACTGTTCCAAAGGGAAGTAAAGCTTTTTTCTGATCCCTTTTCTTCTGCCCATACAATTTAGTTTTAACTCACAGTATCACAGTGTGTCTCAAACACAGTGAAATATGGAGGATGGCACACAAAAAGGAAAGACACCTATCTGTGTCTTTTGCAACTACATTTTTTTCATTTCCATCAAAACAAACATACATTTCTTCAAGCAAAAAAAAAGAAAAAACAAGTGATCCCCAACATAATGGACATTTTAGGAACAAGAAATGATTCTTGTTTATATCAAGGACATATTTACTTGACAGTGTATGGCATGCTTAAAGTTTGTGCAAATCACTATGTATTTATACTAAGTTTTAGGCAAACATACAGGTAATTTACATGCAGTGTAACAATTTCTTTACCTAGCCAGACAGACGTGTAAAGATGTTAATGCAAATAAGAATCAAGCCCACTGCTATCCAGGTTTTTGGCTGACGCTAATTAGGTTGCTATGCATGATGAGAGGTAGTTGAAGGGAAAGACAGAAACGATGTCAGTTACAAAAATATCTTCAATAGGTACATTTAGAAAATTGTGCAGCACTGTAAATTATTTTCAAGTGAGAACTCAAGGTCGGACCGACAAAACACACTGTTTTAGACCTTGCAATGTTTGTTATTCAGACATCATATACACCAAGCAACTTCTGTCACTTGAACTGATGCTGTATTACTTATTAAATGCCAGCCACTGGCTTTAGTATTGTTAAAGACACGATATGAAGAGAAACAGAACACTAAGCAGATTGCTACCTGTAAGGCATAGACAAACTATATTTAACTGTGATAGCAGTAACGTATTTTAAAGCTACAGCAATCCATTTATAACTAATACTAGTAGCATTATGAGATGAGAAGTAAGACCAGGGGAAAGGAGGATAACTGGTTACTTACTTAGAGGTGATCTGCTCAAAGTCAGCCACAAAGTTCTTTTCAAGGTGGCAGAACACTTTTTTTTTTTTTTTTTTTTTCAGTTTCTTACAGGTTTTATACGTCATGCAAGATGTATTCCACTGAGGTAACATATTCAACCTTTGTATTTTCCAAGAAAACTGAAGAAAGTCTATTTTGTCTCTTCCCATATTTCACCTTAAGTTGACCTATGTGAATTTTTATTCAATACTCCTTTGGATATAGGCAAAGATGTTAATTAACCACCAGCAAACTGATGCTGGGGAGATCCACGGGAAAACATAAAACAGTAGGCAAAGAAGGAAACAAAAATTGCAAGCCCTCCTTCTACTGAAACTGGGGCAATCCACAATTATTCCACACCTCAACTTCTATTAATACAATTACTATATTTCATTTAATCACCAGTATAGCTGTTAGTTTTCTATATAGACTGTCCAGATGAATCTTAACAGTAAATGCACATGAATACCATCATTAGTACACCACAAGTATACAGTGACTGACTCTACTCTCTGTCTAACCTCAAAACAGCTCTGAGGTCTTCAGGATGATGCTAATTAAGGAGAGGGCAACTAAGATCTACATTGGATTTGCACCTTCAAAATGAATCACAAATTATTCCTGTGGAAACTTAAAAATAGAAAATAAAAACCTAGTCCTTTTCCTTACTCCATTCTCAACCCAAGTTGTGCAGCATAATTTTAAGGCCTAAACTAGGTTGGAGTAATTTGGAACCACTGACTTCAGATAAATCTTGCAATTAACACTAGCAAAGGATGTATGACACATGCCACCTTAAGACTGGTTTCTGTGCTGTTTGTGTATTAAGATTAATTAGATGCAATTCATGTATTGCACCTGGCTGCACCTTGCAATCAAACCTCTATTCAACCCTTGTTTCTGAGAGTTAATTTTCTTTTTGTTCTCGACTTTCATCTGGCCCATTGATGCTATCCAAGGAAAAACAGCTTACACTTCTCCCTTTATACTATGGCCAGACCTTGCAGGTAGCCTCAGCAGCTTACTTTCCAAAGCCCCTGGTGTGACATACTGTTCATTTTGAAACTGATCTCCTTTGTCAAGTAACTTTTCTTCTTTAACAAAATCACTGTGTTTAAACACGAATCCTGTTCTTAGACAGTCTTTATACCATCCATCCATCATCCCACATATCCTTCAGGATTTGTGTATTATACCCAGTTCACCCCCTCTTGTGGTCAGATCCACAAATCAAGGGACAGAAGGGATGCTAAATTTGATGTTTCTTTGCAACAGAATTTTCACAACATCAAGAAAGGCATGTTACACAATTTCTTAGACCCATGTTTCTGAGAGATACTACATAAATCCATGTGGAAATGCATCCATTTATGCTTGGTTGATATAATGAGGAAAACTGTTCTTCATATGTAAGAATTAGAAACTTATACAAATGAAACCTGAGCTTCTGAAACACAATGCTGAGGTAGAAGAGGTTGATTATAATGAATCCCACTGTCACAAACACACATGGCCCTGAACAACCTCTTTATGCATCCACCCTCTGGGCAGTAGTTCTAAACCTGTAATTCATTCCTCTCCCCTGAGATTTATGTTTTTCCTTCCCAACTCACCGTGCATTCCCTCCAGACTCTGGGCAAGAATGGAGAAGATTAACTGGAATCACACATCTTGCCTCCCTCTTCCATCTGTTTTCCCTGGGACACTTCACTACACAAAGCAACTAGTGGGTGTGATTTCTTGGGCTAGGAGCAATACAAGAAGCACCATCCTTTCTCAAGGACAATGCTGGGACAACTAGTCATGTCTCACTTCCACACTGCCCAGACTAAGAACTTTCTCCTACTTTTATAATGCATTTTTATTTTTATTTTTTAATAAACAGCCAACGAGAATAAGCCTACAAAAAATTGTAGCAAAGAGGGCAGTAACAGGTGAAAGTGAGTGAGGTAGAAACCTCCCTAAGCTGTCCTTCCCAACAAACAAAACTTACAGCCTGAGGGAGAAGGTAAGGTCCTGGTTAACTACCACTTCCTGTGGAGTTTCATAGGGTTTATATCTGCAAAGAACAATTAGATCTGTTTTCTGTAAACTTCAGGCTGTTACACTGTAACAGTAAAGAAACATGTAATTTTGTGTCAGAAAATTCCAGAAAGTAAACTATATGGAATTTAACACAGGAAAAAAATAAAAAAATAAAAATAAAATTCCTGACAGCCTGATGCAAGAGAAAATTCCTTCCTGACTCCATGACTCCACTTGCAGTGATCACCATTTCAAAAGAGGCAGGTATCTAACAAAAGCACCACTTGTTTCTCCCCTCCAGAGATCATTCTGTGTGCTTCAGAGCAATCAAAAAAAAGTAACTTTTCTTTTAAAGCAATTTAGGCTGCATTTGACTCACAACCAGTTGGCACTTCTGCCTCTCTCTGCTCACTGGTGTTTTAGTTGAATTTTGTGCTCCCCACATGTTGAGAAGTGGCTGCTTCAAAAAAACGTGAGTGGGGCAAGAATGTTCCAGTGCCCTGCAGGCAACTGCCCAAAGCCTGGGCATGTAATGTTTGATAATACTCACTGCAAAACCCAGATGTCTCATTAGCCAGTGACAGAAAGAATCATGACCAGCATTTCTCTGATACATATCATAGCATTTTTCCAGAAAACTCAATGGAAGTCTGTGTTAAATACATAGCATATGAACTAGGACTCCAAGCAAATTCACTTTTTCTTTGGTGAGGTGTTTCAATACTTTGATTACTTTCAGCTCTAGAAAAGCTGCCGTGTCCATACCTTGATACCTATCCAGAGCAAATACCACAAAATGTTAAAGTTCCTTTTAAAAAACTGAATAAACTCAGTAATTATGGTCCATATTATTCTAAGCCTTTTGGACAATCTCTAACTAACTGAACTGAGACCTAGTAGCTGTTCCCTTAGTGCTAGGCACAGAAACAAGATTATCATCCTGATAGCACTGGACACTTCCTTTTTGACTTGTAAGTATCAAATTTATATTTTTGGATTTGAAATCACATTGAAAATTATGTGATATAAATAAACATTTACAATAAGACATAGTCCTGCTGTAGATAAATTTTTCAAAGATCTTGTCATGTTGTGCCTGGTAGAAAAGAGCAAGGGTATTTGTAGTCACTGGGCA